TCCCTCCCCCCCTCCCACTAATATGCTCACGCATTATTTTAAAATCTAGATTCTGCATGTGAGAAAAAGCCTGTGCTATCTGCTGTTGTAGCTATGGCTTATATTATGTGTAGAGGTGACCTCCACTTGTGTCCTGAAGGAGGACTCCACATATATGACATAATCACCATCCAAAGGTTTCACCTCCACATACCCTCTATCTTTGGAAGGATGCTTAATATAGGCATTATAGAGGACATGGTCCATCACCACACACAGCTACAGTGAACAGCCTGATGGGCAACAGAAACGCCCCCCCAACTCTGCTCTTCAATATTGGTCTGGTTGCTCTTAGTCTCTTGGCTTTTAATTAAAATTCCAGCATGGGTCTGTTGGTATCTACCAAGTAAGTAGCTGGGACTCGGATAACACATAGTTGAATCAATGAATCAAGCAAAAGTTTCTTGACTCAATACAATATTGCATCTCCCTACCCATGACCATGAACACTCTCTCTTTTTCTGTCTATTTAGTTTTTTCTTTAGTTTCTTTCATCACATCAGAAAAATCTTGTGTATATTTTATTAGCTTTGTGTCTAAATATTACATTTGGCAAACACTAATATAAACAAGAATGTTTTCAGCACCCTTTTCGCTTGTTTATTCCTGGACTTATATTGCTTTAAAAAGATTTTTTATTACTACACACGATATACAATATAATATCAGACCTGCTAGAAACACTCAGAAAATCGTGACAGACAGCCTTTGCTTTAGCTATATCTACCTGAACGCCATAATATTATCCGTTTCTATCAGCACTGAGTTTCTGAGAGTCTAACTATGAACCGATGAGATGCTGACATGAATTGCTATAGTCTGTCGATGTAATGAGCATAAGAATTCTATTGACAGCTAATGAATCCATCGTTTTTTTTTTAAAGAAATTCTTCCAATTATGACAAGCTTGTTTCATGCTGTAAATGAGAGGATTTGAGCAAGCAGAACTCAGCTTTGGAGAGCTCAAGGCAAGCGGTTGCTCTGGGACTAGATGTTCTGGTACCTGTGGGCGTCTGCCGCTTCCCTGTGGACATGCTCCAACATCTCTTCATTTGAATCAAAAGTGAATGAAGACCTAAGCTATTTATCATACCCAGGGACAGGTGTAGGAGTTGACCTGGATGGAACACGAAGGTTATCAGAAGAGCTGTGACTGTCTGTCGTGAACACAGTAGAGACCTCTGATACAATCAGAGAGGCTAGTTAATTGTAAGGGAAACTGTTCACAGTGAGTCTTTAGCTGAAGTGTGGTGTGGTTCTCTCAGAATGTGACAACATGATCTGAAAGCAATAGGGACAACCGTGTTGATTATAGACTGGTTACACCAGTGTTTTGTGCCAGATGTTAAAAAAAAACACTTGGAAGAGAAATTAAATTTAAAGTTGTATTATAACACGCAGTGCGTTTGGGTATCTTGAACCTACTTATTGCATAAGCAAAGATGTCAAGGTCCTGTCTGCATGTCAAACATGGTTTTGGTGCCTCCGTGCTTTGACTAGGGAACTACTAAGTGTCTGGGGTCCTGTATACACTCACCTGGTGTCTGACCATGTGTAATTAGCAATTGATGCACATCCTGATTTGGGCATAGTTCATTTCTGTGCTTCTGCAGAACTCAGAGATTTTAGGATTGTGTCGATGGTTCCTTAAGAACTAGCCCCAAGGTGCACTGCCAACCATACTTCCTTCCACTTTGCCTCTGGCAGGCATCCCTCCTGCGTCTTCCGGAGCCATCTTCATGTCTGCTCTGATGACAGCATCCCTTGTGATGCCTTTGATCGTCTTTTAAATGACTCTGTTAGCCATTTCATCTGGGAAGAAATTAATTCTCGTTGATAGGGAAACTGAATGCACTGAACCCAGCACTCCGGGTTAATTATTGATCTTTCTCTTCAAAGCCCTCAAGACAGCCCTTCAGTGATTCTCATTCAAGCTATCAAAAAATAAAGATCAGGTGCAAACCCAGGGAGTCTTGTGAACTACCGGAGCTAATGAGTCACACCAGGCAACCACAGTTCTCACTAAGAGACTTCAGGACTGAAGTGCCCTGAAGAAATGTGATTTCGCAATTTACCGTGACATTGGTAGGCTGGGGAGATGGCTCAGTCAATAAAGTGCTCGCCAGGCAAGCGTGGAAACCTGGGTTAGATCCCTAAGACCCACGTTTTTAATAATGCTGAGTGTGGTAGCGCTTGCCTGTGATCCCAGCTGGGAGAAGCAGACAGAGGATCCCCACAGCTCATCAGCCAGAAAGCCTAGCTTACCTGGTTTACTCCAGGCCAATGAGAAAATACAAATCTGGGCAGCACCAGAGGAACGGCAAAATCGTTGTGTGGCCTTAATATAGATACACACACATGTGCATATCTACGTGGGCACACGTGAGCATGGCGTGGGAACACAAGCACATGCTGACACTGGTTGGAACGCTCAAGAAGCATTTCCCCCAAATCACCTCTCTGGGAGTATCTGAATTGGGGGCTGAAAATGATTTGAGCACGTATTTCACTAGCTTACTCTTTCAGGGGATCTTTTCCTGCTGTTTCTCACTGACATATCAGAGTAAGTTCAATAATCAAGATCAGAGTAACATCACTCTCAAGTAGTATCGTAGTAAATAATTAACCACAGTGATGTCACAAAGCACAGAAAACATTCAGACCCGTAAGAAAAGAAAAGTGTGTGCCCGTTTGTCACAGGCACTGATGGCTTGAGATACACCAAGCATTCCAGCACACAAGAATCAACCCAAGTGACCATCTTCAATTAGTGGCCCCCAGAGTGCGCAGAATACGACACCCTCCCAGCCTATTAAAACAGCACACATTTCTCCCTGTGTGTTCATCAAGCAAATACGATGTCTTTTAATTATTGAGACTTTATTAGTCTTAATATAACCCAAATTTTCATTGCTCTTTTCCAGAATTATATCAGATGATTTTATTCTTGTTTTAAAAATTGATTCACAGTTTTAATATACTTAAATGTATATTTTAATATTAACGTATTTTAATATGAATACATATTTAAGTTTGCGATTTTACATCTACACCCATTTTTTTCATGTTGTATTTTGTTTGCCTGTTTAGCTTTGAGTAAATAATATCCTTTAACTTTCCTATCCAAGGTTAAGGATGGCTTCTGTCTACATGACCACGGTTCCCTTGGGTTATTATTTGGAGAGTCACCAACCTCAGTGAGTGCACTGTGTTTGAATATGCAAAACAAACTGTTCCATGAAGCCATTGAAACTTTGGGGTGGGGTTGTCAGGGCATTTAGCGGACCCTGGCTGATGTTTAGACTCAAAACCAGGCAGTTTGTACTTGTCTGTGCCTGCCTAAGTTATGTTTAGATCCAAAATTCAAAAGAATGCTTTCGTGTAGATGAAATTCTACCAAGTACCACTAGGTGTCCTCTAGCAACAACTCCACAAGAGCGGCTGAAGCAGAGCAGACAACAGCTTTACCCCTTTATGGCTGTCCATCATTTCAGCCCTGCCAGCTAAAGAGCTGAATAACTAGCTCACTTCAGCCCTGCCAAGTGAATAACGACTACACTCCCCTGTCATTGCTAACGCACGGGAAAACTCCTTCAAAAAGAAAAAGGACACACACACACACACACACACACACACACACACACAGATGAGTGTTACCACTGGTTAAACAGTGTGGATTTGGTTCATGCTGCCACAATAACCGAGTAGATCCCATTGCCAGGGACCTGAGAGTGAAGGACACATCGGGTGGTGCAGACCCTGCCGTCCGCCCTCTCCAACGGACAGCTTTAAACCCCACCCAAGAGGGAAAAAGCAAAAGGTCCGAACTACATTAAGGATATTGGTCATTACAAAGCAGCAGTGTCATAGGAATAGCAGTGGGCGCTGAGAACAGAGACCAGTTTTAGAGCCTCACGGGAGACGCGGGGTGTTCGAAGGAGGCGGTTCACGGTGTTGGGGGGGGGAGATGCCTACAAGTCTCCAGTTCTGGTGTCTAGGAAACTGGGCTCAGTGATGCCTCCCTCCTACGATGGGAAAAGCTGAAGACGTGGAGGGGCGGGAAGACACGTGTTTACACTTTTCAGCGTGCTGGCTCCAGTGTAACAATGCACATGAAAATCATTGTAAAGAGGACTTTCAGTTGAAGGGGCCGAGGCGGAGGATTTTGTATGTGTCTCTTCTCCACCGGAGCTCCCATGAGAAACAAACAACAAAAGAGCCTAAGGGGAGACACGACCCGCCTTCCGTGGCACATGGGATAAAAAAGGCACGACCCGCAAGGCGCAAGCGTCGAGGTCCAACCGGAGAACCCGGGAGGTCTAGACAAAGCCAACAGTGGAGTGCACAGCCAGCTCAGCCCCCGGAGATGAACAGCACAGGGCATCTCCCAAGTTTACACCAGCGAGGGCCTGAAAACGCTTGGTCCACAGGGGGTGCAGGGTGGGTCAGACGTCCTTTACGGGGACCCAGGGTGACATCTCGGGAATATAGGGGGGACCACAATGGAAGGGTAAATCTCATCACGTGGATAGGCGTATCTGCCTTGGGAGATAGAAGAAGGTCAGTGCTGGGAAGTGTGTGAGATCAGAGACCTGTGCAGACAAGGGCAAGAGCCATGGAGACTGGGAAAAGTGCGGGAAAAGATGTTTTGCAACACGGTGGTTTAGCTAAGGGGAGGCCTGTGAAGGGGGTGTGGCTGTGTTTAGATGAGCACAAAGGTGGTGGCTTCCCATGTGATCCTCTGCCTCATGGCACTGTGTATTCATGAACGCGTATGCTTACAAACAGCTGCCTTCTCCTGCATGTATGTATGTAAGCGGCTGCCTGTTGGAAGATGTCATTCTGTAAAAATGTGTCTGATTGGTTTGAATAAAGCACTGTTGGCCAATAGGGAAGCAAGATAGGTGGGACTAGGAGTTGAGGAGGGTTCTGGGAAAGAGACACAGAGGGGACACCATGTAGCCCGTCAGAGGAGTAAGAGGTCCTGACCCTTTCCTCCGGTAAGAGACATACTTAGATTAACAATTATGGGTTAAATACTTAAGTCAGAGCTAGCCAGTAAGAAACCAAGCAAACGGCCAACAGCTTCATAATTAATATAGCGTCCTGTGTGTTATTTGGGGGTTCAGACAGCACAGCAGGGCCTACAGCCGCCTTCTTGTGCATGTATGTATGTTAAGGAGCTGCCTCTCATATGTGTACGTATATGTTTATAAGAAGTAGCTACCTTCTCGTTAAATACAGATAGCAACTATAAAAACCAAATGTGTGAAAATTATGCCCAAATAGGGTTTGAAAGATGGCTTAGTGAGTAAGAGCATGAGGACCTGAGTTCAAATCCCCAGTACCTATGTGGGGGGGAGGGGGAGAACTGGACACGGCCGAGTGTGCTTGTATCCTCAGCACTGGGAGCTCACTAGCCAGGTCAGTCTACCTAAATGGCAAGATGCTGGTCCAGGGAGAGTGTGTATGTGTACAGAAGACATGGGGGGGGGACAGCACTCCGCAAACGCTACAGCCAGCAGAGTATTAATCCACAAGAGACAAGAAGACAGTAGGTTGGTTCAAACTTTCAAGAGTCTAACCCTGTAGGTTGATTTTAGACATATTTAAGCACAGCACAATTTGGGGGAAAAGTTTCCTGGTGATAATTAACTCAGTCCTCTGTGCACAACAAACTTAAAACATGATTACCTCAAAACTCTTTGTAAAGTACAGGTGGCATCTTCCATAAAGATAGGTTCTCTAGGTTAACTAAAGAAAAAAAAAAGCTCTCGATGGCGTGGGGGATCTGGTGTGGCCGGATCACACAGATAGCATGGAGGTCACAGGCTATTAACCACTTCCACTCCCAGCCTCCTGGGTGGAAAACAGGTTATACATCTGTCTCTTGGAAGACGCAGTCCCATGTGTTTAAGATTCCTGGATCCTCTAGTGCTTCTCTGTGTACCAGACTTTTTCTCTTGGGCCACCAACCAGCCCCCAAATCATGACTTACTATTAGTTATGAATGCTCGGCTTCACCTTAGCTCTCATTTTATTCTGTTTCTCTGTGTCTATGGTTTGCCTTTCTTTCTTTATATCTTATTTTCCAGCTGTCTCTGTGTCTAGCTGGCTGGCAGCTGCCTGGCTTCTGGCTCTGGGCATATCCCCCCTCTTTCTCCTCATTCTCTTCTTTCTTACTCTTCTCCAACCTAGATTCCTCTTCCTATTTCTTCTCCCTGCCTGCCAGCCCTGCCTATCCCTCTCCTGCCTAGCTATTGGCCATTCAGCTTTTTTTTAGACCAATCAGGCTCCTTAGACAGGCAAGGTGAAACAGCAGCACTGTCTTTTCATAATTAAACAAATGCAGCACAAACAAATGTAACACATCTTTACACACATAAAGTAACATTCCACAATGTATCTGTGGGCACAAGGACCTGCATACCTTCCGCAGGAAGAGATCCTGACCCAAGGCAGTAAGGTGGAAAACAACACAGCAGAACTCCTGACATTCTGCTCGGGACTCTGCACCCACACACCCCTGTGTATGCAACACACACACACACACACACACACACATGCATGCACACACACACGCATGCACACACACAGAGAGAGAGAGAGAGAGTAGAGAGAGAATGCCAAAAGGAAAAAAATCAAGGCAAAATTTAAAAGTACACTCTGCCTAGAGGAAATAGAGGAATTACCCATGAAAACAGGTGATGGGAATGCTCTGCCTCAGAGAGAAGAGACCTCACGACTTCTACTTGGAGATCAAAGGATGGAGGAAGCTCGTCATCTGCCCTTGCTGCTTTGGCTGTGGGCCATCCACTCCCCCCACTCCATACCTACAGGGGAGTTTTATGCTGGCTGTCACTCAGTCAAAATGTTTTTGGAAGACACTGACCCAGAAGAAAGAGTGCCGAGTCCTGATGCTTGGACTAAGGAAGGAACCCAATCCTCAGGGAAAAAAAAAAAAACGTGTCTCTTACTTGTTCCCTTCGCTTGGGCTTCAGAACGAGGGAGGACACATTTAGAATCTCAGCCACCCAGAACCATGAGCCCACTAGTGTTTGTTTTTAAATTCAGAGACAGGGTCTTGTGATATAGCCCAGGCCGGCTTGGAACTTGCTGTCCTGACTCAGCATCCAGAGTGCCGGGATACAGCCATAACTACCACACTCCACCTGGCTTCAGGGAACTTCAGATAGAGTTGAACATTTTCAATCTCCTCTCTGTCTCTCTGTCTCTGTCTCTGTCTCTCTCTCTCTATCTCTATCTCTCTCTGTTTCTGTCTCTCTCTGGGTCTCTACTTAGCCTGAAGATTTCAGAGAATCAAATAGAACTTACTGAACTGAACTTGATAGGGGATTTCTATGTGCCCAAGGCTAGATTTTTCAGAGACTATGCCAGTAAGCCATGGCAAAGATATCAAGACATCAATTCAGAGTTGAATGTTTTTGTACATGTGACCAAACCTTTCCTTGTTTAAACAAATGCTGAGAGAACGGTCAGAAATTAATTTGACGACTAAAATGTTTCTAAGCCAAGTCAAGGAAGTTCTGGGTCTTATCCTAGGTTGTTTCTAGCAACAGATGATCATGAGCTGCACTGCTGAAGGACCTCATGGTATTAAAAGTATCCATCTCATTTTGCTCTGCCCAGGATAAATCCACTGGATTACAGGGGATGATTACTCATTCATTCATTCATTCCCCTGGATCAGTATGCAACTATATTCCACCTTGGCATCACAGGGTGGAATACCTTTGTCAGACATCCTGTCAGGCATCTGCTTAGTGTGTGTGTGTGTGTGTGTATGTGTGTGTGTGTGTGTGTGTGTGTGTAATGTAGTGTGTACCTGTTTGTAGGTTTGCACATGTATATGAAGGTGCATAGGTTAGTGGAAGACAGAGGTAAATGTTGGAAGCCTTCCTGGATCACTCTCTACCTTTATTCTCTGAGATGGGATCCTTTAGTGAATCTGGGATCACCTGGGTAGTTAGAGTGGTGTGCACTGAGCACTAAGAAGCTATCCCGTCTCTCCCTGTGCCAGTTTTCACATGGGTGCTGAGAATCCAGACTCGGGTCCTCATGCTTGTGAGCAAGCTCTTTGCTGACACAGCCATCTCCCTGGCCCTTTATTTTTTCATTTTGTTATATTTATCATCTATCATCTATCTATCATCTGTCACCTGATGGGGGAAGTCCTTCTGTATATATGTAAACAAAGCACTGTTGGCTAATAGGGAAGCAAGATAGGTGGGACTAGGAGTCTAGGAGGATTCTGGGAAATATAGTGAGGAGAGTTGTCGTCATGTGATCGCAGGGAGAGGATGCATGAGGCTGAGTCCTCGGTAAGATAAGACCTTATAAAAATATATATTAGTAGTTATGGTTAATAATCAAGTCAGAGCTGGTCAATAAAAAGCAAAGCAAATGGCTAACAGCTTCATAATTAATATAGTGTCTTGGGTGTTATTTGGGGGCTAACGTGATGATGGGACCCAGGCAGCTGTTGGGAAGACTACAGGTCACAATCATCTATCCATCTATATCTATCAATCTATCATCTTTCTCTCTCCATCTTGGTCTCTAGTTCTCTCTCCCATCTCTCTATATGAAATAAATGCTGTTTCGGAGCAATGAAGCCCAAAGCCCTTAACATGCATCGAATGTAAAGCTTTCACTATAGTTAGGTGGGGGTGGGAGTCACAGCTTGCAAGAACATTTTCAATATAAAGCTTAGTTATACTGCCTTGTTCATTTGTGGAAGATACTAAGTAGACCCCAGATATAGCCTTCATATGCGGATCAAGGCTTGTTTAACCAACTGTCCACACACCCATGCTGAGGGCTGGCCTAGGGAGGACTGACATCTTAAAATACTGGTCCGTTTCCTGTGTTGAGATGTGAATCTATGTGATAAGACTCTGTTTCTTGGCACTTAGAGCATGAGATAGAGAGCTACTTTTGCACAGATAATAACCCGGATACAAAATTGTGGCTGCCTACGATATCTCTCTGGTTTTAAGGAGTCAGGGAAGAGGGTCTCAATAGATGCTCTGTGGTCTTTTTCAGATCTTTTTTATCCTATGCTGCTTTGACCTGACTTCTATCTGAAGCCAGGGTTTATACACTACTGCAGAAAGTAAAAGTCATCTCTCTAAAAAGTGCTTCATAAGTTGCCTTTCAACCCCATCCACCTCACTCTTCTGCAGGCAAAGCCACAGGCAGGCAGAGACCACAAAACATTTGTTTCCTGAAGTCAGTAGCCTGCCAATCCTTTGTCCCCTCAATTGGGGGAGAGGAAAAACCCGCACAAAGAACAAAGATCTCTGGTCATGGATATTACACAACTGCTTTGCTCACAGAAATGAGAATTGGTTTTGACCCCAAAGACACTGAAAGCAGGGAGCTGGGTATCTGCATGTCAATAGCCACATAGCAGGGATTATTCACGATAATCAAACAGTGATAGCTGCCCAGAGGTCCATTGGTAGAATAGTATGTGAATGGACAATCTGTTGTTGGATATTGGTACACCGTGGGAAGATGTGTTGCTGTGCTTTGTGTGATAAAAAAGCTGAATGGCCAATAGCTAGGCAGGAGAGGATAGGTGGATTTCCAGCAGAGAGAGAGGAAGTCAGAGGGGTGAATCCTAAGCACTCGGGAGATGCCAACAAGACACGGAACACGTTGGTCATATAGGACAGAGGAAAGGTAACCAAGCCGTGATAGAACGTGACTTTATTAGGTTATATATAAGAGCTAGTTGGGGAAAAAAGGCCTAAGCTAAGGCCAAGCTTTCATAATTAATAGCAAGTCTCTGTGTCAATAGTTGTGAGCTGGTGGTCCCGATGAGAAAGCTTATTAGAATAAACAAAGTATACTGTGTGCAACACACACACACACACACACACACACACAGGCCTGCTCCTGATATTATGAGAAAGCTTACTAGAATAAACAAAGTGTACTGTGAGCAACACGCACACACACACACACACACACATACACGCACAGGCATACGTGTGATAGTATGTGCCTGGAGATGGAGCTAAAAGGAGCCTTGCAAGTGTGAGCATCCTATGTTCAATCATTACCACTACAAAAAAGAAAGAATAGTATTTGCCTCAAAAGGAAATGACAGTCTGTTATGCAGAGACAATGAAAAGACAAACCACAGATATGGGGGGGGGGGTGCAGAGACACAACGCAGGTATCTGAAAAGCCAAGATCCCAAACAGATGCAGAACAGTTCAAATGAAAATTTTAAAAAATCCCAATGGAAAGAACTGAGCAGGTGCCTCACCAAAGACAGACAGCTGACAACGAGAAGATGCTCTGTGTCCCAGTACAGGGACTTGGATGTTAAAACAGCAGTGAGGTATCCCTCGCCGCTCCTATCCGACCGACTGGATCCTGACAAGATTGTGGATGGGGTGTGCTCACCGTCACAGCTGGGAGTACAAAATGGTGAGGCCACCCTCCGGAGACATGGGGGCTTCTGATAAGTCAGTCTGCTCCTGCCATGTGACCTGGCTGCCATCCTGCACAGCGTCTACCCACAGCAGGATTGTTGGTGTTGATGGGGACGTTCCAGAAGCCATCTTGGTGGTAGAGGGGAGGGTCTGTTGAGATCCGATACCCACTGTGTGTTTTCCACAACTATTTATTGAGTTACTGGGATGGGTGCCCACTGGGGCACAGGATGACTGGCTTTTGGCTTGGTTTGTTTTGTTTTGGATTGGATTTTCAAGACAGGGCTCTTTCCATGTAGCCCTGGCTGTCCTGGAACTCACCCTGTAGACCAGGCTGACCTCAAATGAACTCACAGAGATCCCTCAGACTCTGCCTCCCGAGTGCTGGCACTAAAGGTTTGCACCACCACCGCTCAGACTGGCTTTAGTGTTTTGATTGGGTTGTCTGTTTGGTTATCGTAAGAACCTTTGAGTTCTTTGTATTTGGTGCTGATTTTGCGTCCAGTCTGTGTTTGATGAAGTTGCCTCGTGGCTATTGACTTTTTTTTTTAATTCTCTTAATGCTGGTGTTGGGGTTGGTGCTTGCTGTTTTGTTTAACTTTCGAATTTTAATTAAATCTACCATTTCCATTTTTCCTTTTATCCATCAAGCTTGGAAGTTATAAGCAAACCAAAGGCCGTCTGGAATGTCTTTCTGCTGCCTCGTAAGGAGCCTATAGGAGGTTTATAGTTTTGTGTTTAACATTTCATTCCTTAAAAGTGCTTCATTTTTGTTGCATTTGTCCTGACATCTAAAACTTCCCAGCCAAAACTGTTTTGGCATGGATATTCTTACTAATTATTCTTTACTGTCTTTTCTTATTTTTTAAGGATGATTTAGTCTACTTATCTGATGAGAATGAGTGCTTTTGATAGGAAAAAAAATCTACTTCCTTTCAGTTAATTGCATGATCTAAAAATAGGCTGCAGAGAGACTAAAATTAGAGTGAGCTATTGAGCTCAGAGGTCTAATAGAAACCCTTCCTGGTGAGACCATCCCACACTAGTCCTCCTTAGAAAGACTGATAGTGCTCACACCGGGCACTAGAGAGACGGCTCAGGGCTCAGGAGCCAAGGCCACTCCTGCATAGGACCTGAATTCCGTTCCCAGCACCCGCCTCAGGGGGTCACCAACACCTGTGACTCCATCGCCCCCCTCTGGCCTCTGCAGGCACTGCATCCACATGCACACACAGACACACACTCATCCACAAATAAAAATAAAATGAATGTTTTTTTTTAAAGATTATAATTTCTCAGGGCTTCGTTCCTAGTTAGGGCAGTCAAGGCTGGGCATGAAAGGAAGGTGTAGGCAGCAGACCGGTACCAAAGGCCGTAACAACAGGATGACACCCGGAGCACTGCAGAAACATGGGTGGGTTTTTTTTCTCCATTGTATTACATTCGATTTCCTAGACTTTCTAAATAAATTGTGAATCCTTGCAGATAAATCATTTGTGGTATATATATACAAAATAGAATATTAGTCAACCATAGGAAGAGAGAGATCCCGGCTGTGCCTCACCATGGGTGAAATTGCTCATCGTGATGATTGACACATGCAAAGAATACAGGGGGCTTTGATCACGACGATGCAAGCAGCGAACGCGCCTGGGATGCTATACACACGACACACGCAAGTGCCGGCTTAGCCGAAACAAAATAACACGGAAAAACGCTAAATATAGCAAATCAGTTAAAGGCAAGGCTGGATACATAAATCAGGCGATTGCATAAAGTGAGCTGGCGCACATCTGTGCTCCACACCATCAGCCAGACAAGGAGAAACACAATGTGACCTTCTGACATCCAGAAGGACCTGGGGCTTTATTAAGTAATCCTGGAAGCCCATCAGCGGAGATAAGATCTGTAGCTACTGACTATCATGTGTCTGTTATCAGTGGACATGCTACAGGCATACTGCAGCCCTTCTCAGCTGACCATGAGATCACGTCTGATTGGGAAGTCCTGTGTATATGTCAATAAAGCACTGTTGGCCAATAGGGAAGCAAGATAGGTAGGACTAGGAGTGGAGGAGGACTCTGGGTAGGAGAGACACAGAGAGTCACAATGTAGCCGCCATAGGGGTTAGAAGCCCAGACCTTTTCTCCGGTAAGAGAAATACTTAGATGGGTTAAATACTTAAGTCAGAGCTAGCCAGCAAGAAACAAACAAACAGCCAATACCTTCATAATTAATACAGCATCTTTGTGTGTTATTTGGGGACTACACGCGGCAGAGTCCAGGCAACTGGTGGGGAAAAACCAAAACGGCTGCCAAGGAAAAGGCTTCTCTCAACACACGTCAGCCGTACACCGATGCTCATTGAAATCAGAATGGGTTGCAGTATGGCCAGGGCTTCTTCTGCAGAAAACAACTGAATTCATTTTACCATTTTCACTCTGTTAAGGTGTGCCCGGCCACCACTATGGCTGATGAAAAGGGAAAACACTTGCTGCTTCCTGACCCAACCCCTGAAATTCCCTCCATCGTCCATAGGAAAAGATGGCAGTCCTTTAGCCCAGTGCCAACCACCCTCTGCAGGTGCCTGTGTAACACCCAATGGCTCCTACCCCCCCCCACTCCCTACTCCACCCCCCGCCCTCACACCGCAGTGTTAGAGTGGCCTGTCAGTCCTCACACGTCCTTCAAAATCTCTCATTTCTGGAAGCACACACACTGCTTTCATGTCTTCGTGAACTGTTCTTAACCTCACACCTTGCCAAAGCTTCAATCCTTCAGACACACACTCCCTACTCAGTACCAACAGGGCTCCGTTCAGCAAGCCCTCCTGGGCATCGTGCCTTTGTCCTGCGATGTGTGTTGGATGCACCAGCTAGCTGTGGCAGGGAAGCTAGATCACGGCTTCGCATACATTATCATTCCAATGCCACCGCCCCTGCAGGACTCCCCGTAGCTTCTTTGAAGGCAGAATGGACCTGTCTTCCTAGACAGACACTGGATAATGGAGAGAGCGGTCTCCCAGCCTGCCCTTGTGTGGTTCTTTGCTACCATTTGCCAGTCTAAATGCTTTTGAGTCGCTGATGCTAAAGAATCCAGGGTGTACCATAAGGAGAACCTCGTGTCTCTATATGCCACCCGAGCCTAGCTGGGGCCTGCAGTTCTTGGTGTGTCACCAAGGCCCCTGTGTGGTTCTGTTGTAGATGGGACGGATCTTGAAAAGCATGGCGTAAAGTTTATCAATTTGAGTTGGTGGTCTCTGAATGGGATGAGACTGGGCAGTGGTCTCATGTGGAATCTTTGCCTACGACTTGTTGGAGGACTGTGAACTGAAAAACGCTGTGCTATTTCACGTTGTGAAATACCTAGAGATAAATGCCCACACAGCAGGCTTCCTGCTATCCAGCAAGGCAGAGAACTAAAGACAGAGCAACTGTGTTTTCTAATACACAGGGTCCTCATCACCACCCCACCCCCTGCCTCCATTTGTCCTCAGAAAAAAAGTACGACAATGCCACCTACTCCCTTTTGCAAAGTGAACCCTATCCCTCTCATTTATCCATTGACCTTAACAAGTGACTTGTTTCCATGTGTACGCTTTTTTAGGCGGAAGACTACCTGTCTTAGAACTGCTTTGATAACTCAAAGAGAAAGGCAGGAAAGCCATCGTGTGGAGGAAAGCCCTGCCATTTTAGTTTCTTCGTAGATATGGAGGCAATCCCCTCTACCGGCATGCACTCAGCTGATTTGAATATTGATTTATCCATTCTCATGCATCTATCACTTGCTGGAGGATAGACAGGAAGGCTTGTTGACAAGGACCTTGATTAAATAAGCTCCTGAGATCATTGATTTGGTTGGCAACTCAAGCCTGGTGAATGAAGTGGATGTTTAGAACTCCAGGGTTTACTCATTTTCCTTTCTGCTCTTCTGAGGTGGAAGGCGGCCTTCCAGCACGACATGGTGGACCCGCGTGACGGGAAAGTTGTGGACTCAGCCTCGGCACCCATCAGCTGACAAGCAGATAAAGAAAACCTGCTATAGGTACACATTGGAGTCCTATTCAGCCATAAGGAAGGACAAATTTGCCATTGATGGGGAAGTGGATGGGACTCAAGGTGATTACGCTAAAGTAAAACAAGGCACACTCACAAAGATGGGCATTGTGTGTTTTCGCTCATATGTAAAGTTTAGGGAGAGGAAAAAAAAGAAACAAAACCTAATAAAATTGCCAAGGGTGTGGAAAGAAGAGGAAGGGAGGGGGTAAGGATGAGAGAGGATAATGTGGGACGGCTGTGATCAAGTGTCTGTGTGTGTGATGTCATGACAAAGCCAGTTATTCTGTAGTGTTAATGTATGCTAACAAAAATAATTAGAACAAAGATATGGATAGGTGTCTCGGTTTTAGTAAAGTTCTTTTGTAGCACACATTCTAATCAATATTAATAATAAAAAATAAAGACTCAGAGTCAGATGTTGGGGTTAATGCTGAAGATCAGAGAAGCAAAGCAGCCAGCCTCTAACGAGTTCTCCCTTATACCAGTGCTCAGACCAAAGGGGTGATCCTCTCCTCGGAGTGACTGCATCCTCAGACTGCTTAGACTGTGCTGCTCCTCAGACTGCATCTCTCTCTCTCGTCTCCCCCTGCCTTATATTCCTCTCTCTGTCCAGCCATATCACTCCAGTCTCCACCTCCCTAGTGCTGGGATTAAAGTCCTGGGACTTCCCAAGTGCTGGAATCACCTTTGTGTGAGCTCTGTTTCTCTTTTATACAGATTCAATTTTGTGTAGCCCAGAGTGGCCTTGAACTCACAGAGGAACATCTGTCTCTGTCTTTCAAGTGTTGGGATTAAAGGTGTGTGTCACCACTGCCTGACCTCTATGGCTAACTAGTGTGGCTAGCTCTGTGCTCTGATCCTCAAGCAAGCCAAGTTAGATCATAAACAAAATATCACAACAGTTCCCCCTTTCATTGTTAAAAAACAATTAGAATTTGTGCTACAGTGATTGTCAAGCATAAGGACCTGAGTTCAGATTCCTAGCACCCACATAAAAATTTAGGGGTGCTGGACATGCCCATAACCCTGGTGCCTTAGATAAATAGAAAGGAAGATTCCTGGGGTTCTCTGTCCAGAGAGTCTAGCCGAATTGGTGAGATCTAGGGTCAATGAGATACCCTGACTCAAAAAATAAGATGGATCCCTCTCTGCCCCATTCCACAGGCCACCCAGCTTCTCTGGGATCTCACTTGCCTATGCTGCCAGGTAAGACACACTCTTACCCACCCCATAAGCTCCACACCTTGTTGCCCAGCCTCTGGTTGCCCAGAGATGACTCAAAGTAAGGCATTCGGGCATGGAGAACTACTAGAAGGTGGCAAAGGAGGAGACCACCCAGGGGCGTGTTGATCCCTGGACAATAACTTCTAGAGCAGACAGTTGCTGATGCTTAGAAGACAACTAGGGATAGAACTCGCAGGCATCAATACCAGTCCCAAGAGGAAGACACTGTCTCAGATCTCTTAGAACTTAGTTCTCTCTGGAACATTGTATACATTGTATGCATTGTATACATTGTATATACCACCACAGAAAGAAGAAAAGTGATTTGACCAAGAAGGAAGACTTCTAACAAACACCTTCAATTATTCAAGTCCCAATTAAGAAACAAAATTGACATGGAAACCCAGGACATCTTCTCTCAAGAGTCTGAATGAAATAAGGAAACCAATCCAAGGCATGAGAATAGAGTCTGATAAAAAGGCAGAATTGCTGAAGGAAACCCAACCTAGAATGATAAAGGAAATGAAAAACTCAGTAAGCCCAATAAAACCTCAATGGATACTGCCACTCATAAATGGATCACATGAAAGAAAAAGCAGAATTGGATCAGTCAGTAAAGCTTAGTGATAAATTAGAGAAATATGAAGAAATATGGATAGAACAAAGGAAAACTTTGCGACACAATGAAAAGATTTAACCTTCAAGTTATGGGTTTTGTAAAAAGAGAAGAGTGCCATAGTGAAGGCATTGAGAATATTTTCAATAACCTCATGGAAGAAAACTTCCCAAACATAGTGAAAGAGATCCCTACCCTGATACAGGAAGTATACAGAACTAGCTGACAGTACCAGAAGAGTAACTACAGCTACAAATACTAAAAACATAAAGAAGGGATATTGAAAGCTGTAAGAGACAAAGCTGAAGCCGCTTATAAAGACAGAACAATTAGAATAGCAGCAGATTGCTTAATAGAGGTTTTTAAATCCAGGAGAGCCTGGAAAAGTTCCACTTTTATATGAATTAAAGGATTGCCAAATCCTTATCTAAGGTAATCAAAATAGAAAGAGAGGAGGCACAGATTAATAAAATTAGACTTGAAAAAGAAGACATCACAACAAATCCCAATGAAATTCAGAAAATCATTAAGGAAACTTTGAAAATCTTCATTTCACTAAATTGGAAAATCCAAAGAAATGCATGACTTTCTAGATACATACAACATGCCAAAATTAAACTTGGAATAAATTAATGGTTTCAATAGATTCATAATGGCAACAAAACTGAAGAATTAATTAAAATAATCCAAGGACCAGATTGACTCACTACAGGTTCTACCAGAACTTCAAAGAGGAACTAGCATTATATCGTTGAAATCATTCTGTGAAATAGCAAAGGAATAAATTCTTTTCATGAAAGCCAGTCTTACTCTGCTAAGAAAACCAGATAAAGAAAAGCAGCAGCAACAACAACAAAACAGAAGAAACTAAAGCAGAGACTTCAGAAACTAGTATAGAGGGTCCTCAAAAACTCAAAACACGTCTTCCAGCTGTACCATTCTTGTGCTACACACACAAAAACCTTTACACATACACAAACCTTTACATATACATGAAAACCTTGCATTCATGTTCACTGCTGCTCCATTCACAATAGAGAGGAAATGGAATCCACCTAGATGTCCACTGACTGACGGGGCTGATAAGGGAAATGTGGGAAATACACACAATGGAACACTGCTCAGCTGTAGAGAGAAACAAAACCATAGCATTGACTGGTGTGAACGGATGAAACTGAAAAAAAATAATTTATACTGAGTGAGGTCACTCAGGCTCAGAAAAAAAAAACAAGCCTCATGTGTTCTCTCCTATGCAGACCCTGCCTTCAGGCTTTCGTGTGTTTAACTTGAAGCAGATATGAGGTTCAGGTCACTGGAAACAGGGCATTGAGGGCAGATGCACCGAGGGAGGGGAGACAGCAGGGTACAGGTGACATGAAAGCAGAGAGGGGGCTCCTGGGGGCAGAAAGATTCAACATGGAATGGGTCAGGCATGAGGAAGTGGGACTGTAGAAGGATTAACGGAACTGAAGTGTATGAAGACACTGCACAGAAACTGATAATCCTGCAACCCTGGTAAAAGATACAGTCAGAGGGGATAGTAGAATAGAGAGGATTGAAATCGTGGGGGGAATGTTCTGTGTTAAAGGTCTAAGTGGGACTAAGTGGGTGACAGGAAACAGCAGAGTAAGAGGCTGACTGAAGCCAAGGATTATGAAGAAGCTTTAAGTGGTACATCCACTCGTTCGTAAGCCAGCAAACATGTGTGGAGTTTGAACAGAATTCCCTTCCTTGGGTGAATAATACTGTCCCTATAAAACACAGGTTTCTAAATGAGAATCTCACTACCAGGCGTGGGTTCTTCTCCATGAGGTATGAACCTATAGGTCAGAGAGGCTTTAGAGGCACCCGGAAGAATTTCAAGATGTTGCTATTCCAATGTGGATAGTAGAGGGACCCTGAGGAGCCACCCTTGGTGAAGGAGCATCCAAAGTGAGTGGATAGCCCCTAAGGGAGTGAGAGCCATGCTTCTTTGGGGGACATTGCTTCTTCTAGGCTGCTCGTGCCCAAGTGGATAGCTCCCATGCCCATGCAATTTAGGGACAGTGTTGTTAGTACTCAGTGTTGTTAATAACCAGAACTAAGGAGAATGTAAAGTTGTGAGGATGGCTGCATAGAGGCAGAAATGAGAGTTGCAAAGAGGCAGGGGTGGATAGACATAGTAAAAAATAATGCAAAAAATAATGCATGGGATTTCAAAGAATCAATTCTATTTCAATAATATTAATATGGTGGAAGGTGGATCATGATGGAGGAAAATAGTGTCTACCACTGTCCTCCAAAGGGTATGTATACATGTGTATATGTGTACATGCATGCATGTTCTCATGTTCTCTCTCTCTCTCTCTCTCACACACACACACACACACACACACACACACACACACACGCACGCACGCACGCACACACATACACAAATACCATACAGTTTTCTTGGGTCTGAGGTCTGATATCTAGCACTCAGTGACCTCACAATGAATGAAAGGGGCAATCTTGTTGTCACGTGTTTCCATTGTTCATTTCTTTACAGTGAAATTGCAGTCAAATGTATTGAAAGAAAACATTTTTGACCTGATTTTCAAATAAACTGAGTTTTTAATTAATTGTTCTATTAGATCTGTTTTATCTCTTATGAGTAAAAAGTTCTTATATCATTTCGAAGAGATCAGGTATTTCAAACCTTGAAAGGAGAAAAGTAGCTTCACTTAATTTCACTTCTCTCACACACACACACACACAAGAGAGAGAGAGAGAGAGAGAGAGAGAGAGAGGTGCAAACCCACAGATACAATTCACAGAGAAAGAGAGACATGCGCACACTCACAGATATATTCTATATTCACACACGCAAAGATGTGCATACACACAGAAAGACACACACAGAGATATTTTCATACACATAAAACACAAGCACACACTCACAGATTCAGTCACATACACACACAGAAAGACATGCACACACTCATAGATACATTCACACACACAAAGAGATATGCATAAACACACAGAAAGATAAGTGCACACTCACAGTTACAATTCACACACAGAGAGAGATGCGTACATTCACAGATACACAGAGATGTGCATACACACACAGAAAGACACACACAGATACATTCACATGCACACGCGGAGAGATGTGCGTACAAACAGATACATTCAGAGACATAGATGCATACACAGACACATGGATGCATTAACACACACTTGTTTCAAGTCATGAATACCACCATCCTTCCCCACCACTGATTTTGAATCCTGTGTTGTTCTCAACATGGTTTATCAATTAATCTTTTCAGTTATTTCAGCCAGGAAAGCCAACACTGTCTATTTGCCAAGACTGAAGCAAGAATCATTGACAGATATATAAAAGGGTATGAGGAAGGGTAGATGCTGGGCTGCATACCTTCAGGGGACAGGCCTGGGGGTGGAGGCTGAACAGATGATCTTCAGAGTGTGCAACTGGGTGGAGGTTAGACCAAATACCTTCAGCAGTTGGGTAGAGGCTGGACCTCTCACCTTTCAGGGAATTTGGCTGGATGGAGGTTGGACAGTTTGCCTTCAGAAAACGGAGGCTGTGATGGAGGCTAGACTTCAACCTTCAGGAGCAGGGTTGAACTGCAACCTTCAGGGCCTGGGATAGAGTCCTGAGACCCTCAGGCAATGGGCCTGGTGGATTTGGAATTGGGTGCCCTCATGACACACAACAGGGGTCATCGAGCGGGAGCTAATCTCGTTCACCTGAAAGCTGTGGTGTCTTCAGAAATCAGTTTTCGCCCACCAGTTCAGATGACACGACAACAGGGCACTGTGGGAGACCAAACAGCCCCATCAATAACAGACAGCGAGCAGTACAGGCAGTATAAACAGCCCTTCTCCATGTAAAGATGACTTGAAAATGAGGGTAGAGCTGTCTGCGTGGAATTCCTTGTGTGCGGAAGGCAGTCCCATCTAGGCTTAGACGTGGAGTCCATTTGCGGGGCCATGGAGATGGCCCAAGCAGTAACGGCACTTGTCACCCAAGCCTGACAACCCGAGTTTGAGCCTCCTCAGAACCCACGTGGTCTTAGAAATAGAGAGCCGACCCCTACAAGTTGCCCTCTGATCCCCACACGCACTCATGCACACGCCTGAGCACACATGATAGATAAATGTTAAAAAAGTCTGTCTGTGCTGTCTTGAAAACGAACGCATATACTATGGAGATGGACTGACGCAGCTGAGGCAGATTTAAGGAGCCACTCGGAAGCCTAGAGAGAGGCTTGGAGGTGAGGAGGCTGGCCCACACTGTAGAAGTAAAAGGAAAGAAATGGGCAGGACCATACAGAGGCAATGCATTCTGGGGACATAGATAATTCCCGGGGAG